GAAAGGCTGAGGGAGCTGGGCCTGTCCAGCCTGGAGAAGAGAAGACTGAGGGGGGATCTGATCAATGTGTACAAGTATCTGAAGGGAGGGTGTCAAGAGGATGGCGCCAGACTCTTCTCCGTGGTGCCCAGCGGTAGGACAAGAGGCAACGGGCACAGACTGAACCACAGGAAGTCTGGTCTGAACATGAGGAAAAGCTTCTTTACCGTGAGGGTGACTGAGCACTGGAGCAGGTTGCCCAGAGAGGTAGTGGAGTCTCCTTTGCTGGAGATATTCAAAAGCCGTCTGGACACAATCCTGTGCAACATGCTGTAGGTGACCCTGCTTGAGAGGGGAGTTGGACTAGATGATCTCCAGAGGTCCCTTCAAACCTTGGCCATTCTGTGATTCTGTGATTCACTGGTGATCAACAGGAATGACTGGTTGTCTCAAAGCACGACCTGTGAGGAAAGATGGGAAGAGCTGGAGTTGTCGAGGCTACAGAAGAGGAGACAGAGCAATCTTCAAACATATAAACAGCTGCTGCAAAGTAGAAGGGAATAATTTGTTCTCCGTGAACAGAATTAATGACCTTAAATTCAAGCAGCAGAGGTAGAGGCTAGCTATTAGGCATTACTAGCAAGTCAAGAGCTGGAATAAATTGCCTGGGGAGGCTGTGGTGGCTGAGAGGAAGGAAATGGACCAAGAACAGGCTGTAGCACAGATATAACTTGGATAGAGTTGAATGGGCTTGGGAGAAGGCTGAGCTATGTCACTTCCCTACATCCTTTCCCACCCTGGCTTTTAATGACTCCAGGACCTACCGTTGAGAGCAGCTTCTTCACTTATTCTTCCCCTTGGTTTCACATTGTTAGGAGAGGTGATGGTGGTCCAACGGGTGCACGGCTGCCCTGGCTTAGCGCTGCTGTCCCTGTGCAGTGGGGAAGCCAGCGATGCTCAGAATTTGCCCTCACTGAGTGAGCATCGGACACGCGGCAGGGCTGAAGGGTCCCGTGCTGCCAGATGTACCACAGGCCAGGCGAGATGCGCACCTGGAAACCGGGAAATCTGTAACTCTCAGGTGGCCACATTTCAGGCTCAGGCAGATAAGAGGATCCAGCTCGCCCTGTCAGGGCAGCAGAAGACGTTTGTTTGGGAGACAGGGATCGTGAAACCTAAATGACATTTGTCAGTCACTCTGACAGCCTGGGCTGGAGGCATCCTGGTCTGCAATATGTGATTACTGTTACCATACCTACCAGCATCCCTGCTCTTCCAGTCGCCTGCCAACAGCTTTGCCAGCAGAACAAAGGTGTCGGTACCTGCAGCCAAGGGATGACAGCGAGCAGGTGGGGGAAAGGAGGGAGCAGTGACATCTTCAGCTAGCCTACTGCCTGCTGTGACCATGGATAAGTCTTCCCCACCCCCAGCCCTGGAGCCTGCTTGCTTCCTATTCATCTTGCAGGCTTCAGCGCAGGCTCAAAAGCGCCCACACAGCATTTGAGAACTGAACACTGTGTTTGCTGGTGGACTGCACTGTAGGACACATCTTGCCTATCCAGAAGAAATGAGAGCTCTAGGTGAAGCCTGCCCTGAGCACACACCAGTGAGCAAACAGGAGGGCAGGGAGTCCAAACCGGACTGTCTTGACCTGCTAGTGTAGGTGTCTGTGAAGCACTAAATAAATGAAAGGTATCATTAGGAGCCTAGCAGGCTTTCGGAGGAAAAGCAGCATCAGTAATTGCACGGACATCAACTCCGTTGAAGTCTGTGGGGCTTGCAGGTGGGTCCAGCACCTTCGATAATGTGACCTCACGTGGCTGCAGGGAGCTGGGAGAGACTTGGGTGCCTCAGCGCAGAGGCAGAGTCCTGACACATGGCGCGAAGGAGGAATGAAGCAAGCGTTTCTCCTCACTCAGAGCTAGGCGTTCCTTGGGGAGATCACTGGCACAGAGAGTCCTCGTGTCTCTCCCCACCCAGCCCAAGTTAGACACGCTGCTGAGGCTCACACCTCGCGTTCAGACCCCAGTCTGTGTGCTGGAGCCATCGCTGTTACATAAATCTCTCACACCCAGGGAGGAGGGCTTGAGCGGCAACTTTGGAGCTAAACAGCCACTAATGCAACATAACGTTAATGGCTATTTTGAGTGAATCCCGAACAATAACTAATAGGCACAGTCCGCTTGTAAAGATGCAGAGAAAAGCCATCAGAATGCACATCATACTTTTAAGTGCTGTAGCTGTGAAGCAGCATGTTCAGTTTTCTCACATTCATAACTGAGGGTGGAACAGATGGCGAAGGTTTGGGAGGAAGCTAATGTAATACAGAGGAAGAGATAATATGTGGATTTAAATAACCTACAATGCCAGCAACAATTTGTTCTAGCAAGAATTCCACCGTGCAAGCAGGGTTTTATTCCCGTGGCCTGGTGGGGGGGGGGGGGGGGGCAGC